AAGGACGAAGAAGAGTATATCTTAAAGTAGGTTGGAAATAGTTATTGAGAAAAAAGCATCCTGGATGATTGCTCGGACATTTGGCTCCCTGGTGCAGGCATACCACGACGCGTTCGCCTCTGCGTTCATCGATTGTCCAATTGATTTGGCAAACCTGAGTATCAGCACCGAATATGGATTGCCAAATCGTTGTATTTATTGCCAATACAAGCGAACATAAGAGTCCCAGGAAGCAATTGGGAAGAAGGCCGGAAGCAACCATAAGGCGTCAGGTAATGAAAACGAAAGACTCACTGCCATGGTAAGAAACATCTGGAGTCGTCTATAGGATATAGTGCAGTTGCGGACAAAGCCACTAAGTCGGAGAAACTGGCAGACTTCTGAGGACGCAAACTTCCGAAATGATGCCAATTCTGAAGGTGCGGCTCATTCGACGGGACCCGGTCACACATTCAAATTTGATGAGACCAAAATGCTAGCAAGAGGTGAGCCAAGAGTTACTTGATTCATGGTTTATGGGCCTCCAATCCATAAAAAAGTGCAATGATTTGTCCAGTCCCTATGCAGTGCTGTGACTCAAGTTGGCCAAAGCAAGTCGCCACTCGGAGAACGCACAGGCCAACAAGTCGTCTTACGCCAACTCCGGGGAACCAGATGGCCGAGCAATCATCATGTCTAATTCCACCACGAGTGATGAAAGTTCAGCAACGCAGGGCCCGCATGTCGGTAATCATACAATCAACACAAAAGAAGGCGATTACGGCTAATTGTCTTTATTTATCATACGTGTGCATCAATGACTCTGTCCTATAAATACTGCAACCTCCCGTGTATGTGGTACCTGCTTCTGCAACAGTTTTCTGCTTATGTCTCTAATGAAGATTCCGCGACGGATGTTGAAACGTCAGGTAAATAAAACTGTTGAGCCAGCGATCAAATCTTCGGTAAGCGTTCGTCGTGTGGTCCCGAATATGTGCAGTAAATCAGGCCAAAAAGGCTACTGAAAATTTGTAAGTAGGCGGTAATAATAAATAACTTGTGAGCGCGGTATATCGTTCGTGTACACTGTTTTACTTTTCATTTGCTGGCGTACTTACGGCCGCAGAAGACTGCAGGCCATGGAACTGAGGTTATTATCTACCAAACGCCTCCGGGTGTGCTGGCTAGCTTCTAAATGTTCGGGTGAGAAGAGTGTTTTACCTGGCGACATGTTCACTGGATATATTTCTGCGATGTGCCCGCAGAAGAAATCGCAGGCCTCCGGTATGGCGTTCTTCCTGAACGTAAACCACATGTGGTACTATATTTCTTTGACGTGGGCCCACACTGAACCCCTTTGAATAGGCCCGCATTGACGCAGTCCCCATTTGAAGCGACTCCAAAATGCCTCCACAGCTTGCGTGTGGATCCCCGTGTACCGGTCGACAAATTCTTTCGTATGATTCACCGTCCCGTGGGTAAACCTCATGTCTTTGAGGTTCTGGTAGCAACTCCGGCAATCTGTTGCCATTGCGCTACCTGGTTTAACCCATCTTTTAATCATGGAAAAAATCCATTGCTCCGTGCGTTTACTTAGCTGCTCACATACGGCCTTCTTCTTCACCCGAAGTTGCCTCGTTCTCCGGCCCCGGTTGTACTTCGGACGAGCTATCATGGACTACTCTATCTCGACTTTACCACCCGGTCCACCTACAGTGGACGCTACTCGGTTTAGGGAGTTCGAGCAGACATTTCGCAAAATAGCGAACCAGCTCACAGCCACTTCGTTGGCTAGTCCGCATACGGCTGCAGCTTCTTGAACTTTTTTTCCTGCAACAAAAGCCACACACATATTCACCAGCTTCCGCAATGTTAAGCGGCTGCCAAAGAAAATGGACTTTGTACGCATTGGACTTAGTACATCGGAAGAT